TTTTCTCTTTCTTTCTTTCTTTCTTTCTTTCTTTCTTTCTTTCTTTCTTTCTTTCTTTCTTTCTTTCTTTCTTTCTTTCTTTCTTTCTTTCTTCCGTTCTTTCTTTCTTTCTTTCTTCCGTTCTTTCTTTCTTTCTTTCTTTCCTTTCTTTTTTTTTGTATAGCCTGGATTTCAGAGTCCTTTTAGTGAAGGAAGATAAGAGGCAACTCTCATTGCTGACAAGCAAGGCAGTTGAGTGTTTTGGTATTTGAAGATGGTTCAAATTAGGATTGAAAATGATTAAAGTTTCTGTTGTAAATGAAGGGATGAGGAGTCATTTATAAATTTTATATAAATTTTATAGATACCTGCTAATCTATATCCTTAAAATAAATATTACTAGACATTTGAGTTAGTGTGTAAAAGTACTATTCCCCCATCACATTCCTTTAAAAGTGAAGGAGCACATTATAAACTTAAATGTAGTGACAACTTGCAAATTCGTTTAAAAACTTCAAGTTGGTTTGTTAGAGGGGAGAAGTAGTAGGAAGGATATGTGTTTCCATGGAAATCTCTTATTAACTGAAGCAGAAGAAAAATGGGGAGATCTTGAAATTCTGTATGGTGGCAAAATAATGAAACAGATAAGTATTCTTGCAAAATAGATGTCAGTTCCTAAAATTTATTCTAATAGGATTTGAAAGATGTTGGTATTCCATGCAGCTAGTAATGGGGTCAAAGACAATCTTGTTGTACAGTTGATTCAAAAAAAATATCTTTACTAGACATTAATGAGACACAGTTCCTACTGGAGCTTTTTTATCTACTTTGAGTAGTCAAGGTTAACATATCAGAAGTAATACCAAAAGCACTAGATAATAGATGGCTAATCGCTAAATTACGTTATCCTTGACGTACTACTCTTGGTATACTTTTGGAAATCTCATCTCTCAAGAATTTATCTAAGAACTGTGTAAGGCAGTGTTTTATAATCTTAAGTGATATAGGGACACAAAAATTCCTTACATTTCCATAGTATGGAGGGAAAGTATTTTTATTATTGTTCTACTCAAACACATATCAATCTAAGCACAGGACAAACCACTTACCCTGAAATGAAATATGAAAAACAATTTTCATATTAAATACAAAAATACTGTACAATCAACACAACTTAATGTGATGGCATGAACAAAGTTTTATTGAAACAAATGTCAGCATTGCTCAGCCTGCTATGTGAGGCACAACTACCTTTGCTTCCAATGAGCCTTTCTTACTATAGTCACATGATGACTCAGCTTTCTCTACTTCTTTACTCAAAGGACTATGAAACTATCCTATATACACATCCTGTGAGTTTTATTTATTTATTTATTTATTTTTTGCCTGTGGTTTGTACAGAAAGAATATATGAGTATTAACTCTGCTTGTGATACTTGTTCACTATTTTGCAGCGATTATTATAGTACAAGGGGTTGTTCACTTGATTAAAATACAATTGGAAAAGCTAAGAAATAAAGTCTTGGAAGAAACTTGGTATGAAAGAGCCAGCAGATGGTCCCAGATATTTTTCTGTTACTTTTCAAAGGTTATCATAAATAAGAGGACAGGAAAGCCTCATTAAGAGAAACTTAAAAAGTCTCATGACCAAAGGCAGCTATGGTAGACACAGCTGTTTCTCCCAGCTCCCCTTCAAGGAAGCATGTGGTACCTCAGGAACCAGCACAGAGCCTCTAGCCTTTAGTTTCTTTATGGTTTGCTCAGTTGCAGAAAACTGCCACATCCTTCAGTGGGTGCCCACCTTTCATATAAAGGCAGCAATATTAAAACTCAGTGATTTTACCTGAACCAGGACAACTCTTATGGACCATGTATGCTCCAAACTCCCTGTGGATGCACTGCTGTTCCATTTCCCCATCCAATCCTGCTGTCCTTCTCTCTCTCTCTTTATGAGCCATAAGAAATAGTTTCCATGCCAAACTCCATCATAGTGTCTGTTTCTGGAGAATCTAGTCAACAAGTACTCCCAAGAATTTCTCCAAAGAGCCCCACCAGCATTTCACATTGAAAGGTTCAAAGCTGATGCATGACTAATCTCTTGGGCTTATGCCTCAGAACAACTTCAGGGTTTTCCCCCTGCTCCTGTTTTATCATTCATGTAGTGGATTACCACTGTATGCCCATAGGATCAAAAATTTTGATTCCTTACACACTCAGAATAGTCAGTCTATTATTCATGCTTTAAAATACAGGAGAGACTTTACTTATTTTTCCAGGGATTCATTTTCCTTGAAATAAGGTATGCTGTTATAATTATAATGGAGAGCTTTACTTTGCTTTCCAGCAATAATAATTTTGAGTTTCCTATCTCTTTGATTCTATAAATTAAAGGACACAAATTGTGTGAGTGGAGGGGTGGGGGAAGTTTCCTTATAAAGGAAACACATATACAATATTGCAACCTATAGTCATTTAGTTATTTTGAATTCAGTATGTTGCCTCACATATAAACAAACAATACTTTCATAGGATGGCATCAAATGTCAAAGGTTTCATTTTTTCTTCTGTAATTAAGATTAGTGTCTTTCAGTCATTAAAACAAAACATTTATTTTGTTACAATTTCACATACAATGCATAGTTTTATTTTTTAATATTGGACTAAAGCATACATAAAGAAAACCAAATTTGATAAATGCCAACATAACAGTTTCATAACATAAACACTAAAACAGATGTGAACATTATTATAGGGCTTAGGCATCTATGAAAATATACATATTTTTTTAAAAAAAAACAGTCTTTTTACTGAAAGAAACTGATGTTTAAAATTGGAAGTTGTGTTGTCAGTTGAAAATGAGACACTGAGATGTTTGTGAAGGAGATATTGTCTGGAAAGCAATAGAACATTTCCTGCCCATGGGTGCAGTCTTGAGGATTTGTGACGGCCATGACGAACCCAGCGAGCATGACCACAGCACCGATGGAGAGCAAGACGCAGGACATAATCTTATCTGAGTGTGTCTTTGGTTCTTCAGACAGCTTCAGATAACATGCTGACGGAATAATAAAAATTAAGGGAGCTGCACAGAGCACACCCTGCATATTGAAAACAAAAAATAAGATAAGCACATTCCTGGGACAGTTTTTTTTTTTTAAGCACTGACAAATACATTTATCATTATTAAAAGTTAAACACTTGATAGATTCAACTGAGTCAAAGAAAAGTCATTCCAAGAAAGGTTTTCCTTTTCTGATTATGTATTTAGACATGAGAACAGTATAAGATATTACTAGATCTGTCTTAAGGTAAATGATCAGAAAGTACTATAAAAATTAAAACAGATGGTAAGATCAACTCTGGCAGCACTTAAAATTTTCCATAATTTTTCAGTTACATTGTATTTCTTTAAACTCTTCATTTCAAATTACTGTAGACCTAGTATGCTGTTCAAATCTTAAAGGTCTATTTGTCATTTATGTACAAATGTAGACATCTGAGAAGTACTTAAGGCCCACTGACTTTCCTTTTTACTTGCACATACAAGAAACCAAGTGTCTATAAGAGAAAGAAGTATAACCCTAAGGGCACTTAACATGAAATAGCATTTCTAAATCCTCTTTCAAGCAAAACTAAACACATTAATTACCCTAGAAAATTGACAGCAGAACTAAATGACTATGACTCATTTACCCTACCCCACATTAGCTTATGGATAAGTCCAACCTGAAGGGGAATGTCAGATTGAAAATTATGGGGAGACGTGTGTTCTATTGTAAAAATATCAAGGGCAACTGACTTCAAAGGAAAAGAGAATTTTTCCTTTAATAGAGCAAATTTGCACTAGAAACTTTCCAAGAAAATAATGCTAACATTTAATGTATTTAGTAATACATATTTTTCTAATCATATTAAATGCTGATTATATGTTATACAAATGACATTATCAATAAGATATAATAAATATAATTGTATGAGAAATGATATCTTTTAAACCAGAAAACAAAAGTTTTGTAATATGTATGCTCAAAACCAAATGTGATATGGTTTAAAATTAATAGCTTTATATATACTATATTTTGCTATATTTGAAAAGTTACTACTATGGAAGTGTTTAAATATAGAGAAAATAGAACAAATAGTCTAATAAAACTCTATGCACCTATCACTTATGGTTTGAAAGCTTTCCCAGGGAAAATATAGGAAACTGATTTTGAAGTTAAATCATATAAATTATACCTTAAAATAGATGTAACAGAAATATTGTTTCAATATAACTACTTAATAAAAGTGCTGTGTTTTACAAGTACTATCCTCATACCAGAAATATTATAATTGATTCTAAAAACAGTCTTATTATTTTTCACAAAAAAAAGTCAATGTCCAGAAAAATGGGAATTAAGGGTGATATGAGAAATCAGACTAGTCAGGCAGCTTCTACAAGTCTGGAAAACAGGAGGAAGTACACTTCATGGAAAATATACAGTAAAAGAAGGTGAGAAAATACTAATGGGTACCAATGGTCATTTAATGCATTCAAATTTGAAATGTATAAAGAATGTAATTTTCCATTCATAACAACAGAATACAAGGGATGACTTACAAGGATATCCAGTAAAGATTGGTTTTCATAATATTGGAATTAAATGCATTATGGATTCCTGAGACTTTGTGGTGACACTTAAAACCAACAATGTGGGGTTTTGTTGTTCATTTGATTTTCAGAAAAGGAAACAGAGGCACAGAGCGGTTGATGTTATGGGGAAGAATGGGTGTAGCCAGAGCAGCGAGGTGAAAGAATTCAGGGTAGAGACAGGGTAGAGAACAGAACAGGCAGATTTATCAAACTACACAGCTAAGAGAAGCAGTGGTCAATATAGGAGAGGTCTGCTCAGTGTTTTTTAAGTAATGGGAAATACGGTAGAACTCAGTCTGTTTTATAATAAATATGACCTTTTGAGTTCCTTGAAATAACTTGAAGACAATAAAAAAGTCATCAAAAAACAAATACATAGGTACATAGATGTGAGTGCAGAGAGAAAGAATCTTCTGTTTATAGGAACAAACGTGAAGCTAGTTCATGGGGTACCACAGTGAAAATGCTATCAAGATGAAAACTTCCACCAGCTGCTGCTAAGACGTCATCAGTCAGCATTTTGGGATATTTCCAAACCTAACTTGCTGGGCAGTGCAAAGCAATGGGTGTTCTGTTTATTGTATAATTCTTAAAAGATGAGAAAGTAACAATTAGTGGGAAAACTATACATCTGATGTTTATACTGGAAGAAATCCAGTTGGGTGTCTTATCTAGATAGCTGTTACTTTTTTAATATGTGAAGCTCAGTGTTGCTAGAGGTTGTTGTTAAGCACATAAAACCATTAGTAAAATGACAGTACAGTTCCATCTGCTCTATTTCCTATAAATTAGTCCAGCTAATTTCATCTATTTAATAAAACCTTGCTTGAGAATACACCACTGGCTTTGGAATCATTTTTTAAATTGCTTGACAGGATATAAAGAACATGTGTGTTACTTATAAAGGCTGAAGAGCACAATTCCTTAACAATAACATTATTGCTGCCAGGGCATTTTGCAGTTTATGTAGAAAATGGCAGAAGGTGTTGAAGATGTTTACTGGCAATCCAGATTGGAGAGGTATCTGAATCTCCCATCTGAATAGACACACTTCAAATGATACAAGAAGGCTGAAAACAAGATTAAACAATGGCTCTCTATCTTTTAAATTTCTTCCATGTAATCACTTTGGACTCATGAAATATATTCCTATCCCTGAAGAAACCCCTTTAGTTTCTTTAGTGCAGGAGATTCTAGGGGGCTGGGCTGTGGCTTGCTCACTCTGCTGACTATATCTCTGCTGACTGGGTTCTCACTGAGTAATTGGCATGCTTTCTTCTTTCCACTGTAAGCTGTACACAGTGCTTGTTGGGCCTGTTATTCTGGCCACAGGCCCCAGCTGCTTCATTTTTTTTCTTTTTGTACTTCTGCAAGTAGAAACCCACGGGGCCCAATTACAGCAGACACCTCTTCCCTCCAGTAGCAACTTCAGTGCCAAGATGCTGTCTTCTTAGTATTCTTAGTACCAAGAATGGGTCTTGCATTTACTTTATTTGCTTCTAAAATGCTTTCAAAGGGAAGGTATATTTGCTTAGAAAAAAAATATGTTATTGTCCACTGTAATAAAACAATGAAATAAAAGAGCAGGTCTAAATGAGATTTTTAAAATTAAATAGCTAATCTAACCCTGAAGAATATGTCCTATGTTATTTTAGTTATACTAAGTAACAGTTTTTCTATACCTTTGCAAATTGAAAATGTGATTCTACTCTATATCTCATCTGTGATGATCATTGTTCTGCTTATTAATAATTCATAAGCCACAATAGAAAATAATTCCTCAAATACTACAATTATTAACTAGGATAAAAACTATCAGGGCAAAATTATTAAACTAGATGAAAAAAATTTAGCTCCATTTTACTCATCTCCTGGTATTTATTTTAACCCATTAATAAAGTCTATCCATATATACTAGGGATTATTCTAAATCTCAAAGATAAACTAATACATAGGTTTTTAGCTTAAAGATGGAACTGAAATGATTATTTTATATAACTTAAAGCTTTCTATGTAGGAAACCTCAGATTAGCATGATTTAAAATGTGAGTTAGATTGAAATCCTATGTTTAAATCTTGATTCTGTTACTAACAACTACTTTGAGAACAAACTAATCACTCTGTGCGTTAGTTTCTTCATCTGTAAAATGAGTACAGACTGAGGAATATAATGCCCACAAAACACTTGGAAAGAATAGTTACTCAATACATATTAGCTCATATTGTTTTTTCTTTTTAAAAATATGTATTTATTTATGCATATAGAACTGGGGTACAGGCCAGAGGTGCAGGGGCAGTGAGAGGATTCACCAGAGACAGAGTGGGGAGCAGAACAGGCAAAATGAAAAAGTACACTGCTGAGGGGAGCAGCAGGCAGGTCAGGGGAGATCTGCCACACCATGTGGATCACCTCCGGGCCGGGGATCGAACTCAAACTGAAGCGGCAGTGGCTAGCTTGCAGTGCTGCGCCCTAACCTGTTCTGCCAGTAGGGAGGGCCCCATATTTTTTTTTTCTAAAGCTGAACACAACATGCTTTAGTTACTTACATGCTGCATGACCCGGCCTGCATTAGTTACTGACAGAACCAAGGCTCCATATGGCTCTATTAGACATGATAAATGCCCACACAAAACGTTGCTGAATACTGACCTAAGTAGGTTAACATGCACACCAAAAGACAATATTGACTAGGAAAATATGTTTAAGAATTCTGAAAGAGAACGGAGATCCCAGGTTTTTAAAATTCCTGTAGAAACTAAAACATGTAATTGTCTGACTATTGGGTCATAATAGACAATTCTGCACTCTAATTGCTATTTGAGGAGTGTCTATGTGACTTTTTTTTTTTAAATATAAAGATCTGAAGTCATGTCTTTAATTTGTAAAAGTAGCCTCCATGGCCAACTCAGACCTTGACTTTAAATAGGCATTCACGAAATATTCTTCTCTGATTACCCTATGATATCAGAAGTCTTAATCACATAAAACTCTTTAACTAAGTGTAGTGGCAAATATTTAATATGTGCTTACAGCTTTGTTGTGCAAGAGTAGGGTGGTCAGCAATCAACAGAAAGCAATAATTACATTTATTTTTAAAAATTGGCCCTCCCTGGTGGCACAGCGGGTTAAAGCACAGCACTAAGAAGCTAAAGCCACTTCTGCATGAGTTCGATCCCGCCTACCCCTGAAGTGATCACAAGGCGGGGCAGACCTCTCCTGACCCACCCACTGCTCCACTCAGCAGTGCACCTCCTCAATCTGCCTGTTCTGCTCCCCATTCTGTCCCTGGTGAATCCTCTCACCCTCCGCATCTCTGGCCTGTACCCCAGTTCTGTATGAATAAATAAATCTTTAAAAAAATATATGTTTATATAAGTAGTAAGATGTAGAATTGATGCTGCAGATAACCATGGGTATGTGAGATATTAACTTTAAACTATAAAGGAAAAAGATGATCAGATATCTTAATCCAACATGCAGATAATTAATATTCACAATGTAGAGACCAAAGTAAATAGAATAGAATCAGATAAAATGAAAATGATCTGTAAGTGGAAAAATATAATTGTATGCAAATTGGATAGACTTTTTAATGCATTCACCATTATCTCAGCAAGTTTTCTTAATTAAAGGGACACAAAAAATGTCTGTAAACATTTAAATATATAAGATATAATCTTTAAAAATGAAAATAAAACAAACTTTAACATTTAGCAAAAACAGATATAGAATAAGGCATTAAAAAATAAAAATTTTACCCCAAACTTCATATGCTGCTCAACTACTTAATATCTGCATTACATCAATGACTAAGGGGGAAATAAGGAAAGTTGGGGACTTTTAAAATGGGAAAAGGAGGCCCTCCCTGGTGGCACAATGGGTTAGGACATAGCACTGCAAGCTAGTTTCAGCCACTTCAGTGCCAGTTAAACCCCAGGCCCTGGAGGTGACCCACATGGCATGGCAGACCTCTCTTGACCCACCCGCTGCTCCCCTCAGCAGTGTACTTAGTTGATCTGCCTGTTCTGCTCCCCACTCTGTCTCTGGTGAATCCTCTCACTGCCCCTGCACCACTGGCCTGTACCCCAGTTCTGTATACACAAATAAATAAATCTTTAAAAAAAATCAATCAAAAATATATGTGTGCTTGGTTAACTTGAACAAAAAATTGTTAGGCTATTAAGATATCATGAGTGGTCAGACAGGTAATAAAATATATTTTCTCTCATATTAAAAATATGTGTGTGTGTGATCTGAACTGAGATATTTTCCAAGACAAGAAGTTATAGGACTAGAAATCATTAAGTTGGTCCACTCCACTGCAAATGTTTAAAGATTATTATCACTAGAGCCAACAAATTTATGTAAAACGTAATTTCCTAGTGTTGCACTAAAAAATGTCTCTTCCGGGACCTCCCTGGTGGCGCAGCGGGTTAAAGCACAGCACAAAGAAGCCTAAGCCACCTCCACATGAGTTCGATTCCCTGCCTGCCCCGGAGGAGATCCATATGGCGAGGCAGACCTCTCCTGACCTGCCCGCTGCTCCCCTTAGCAGTGTACTTTGTCGATCTGCCTGTTCTGTACCCCACTCTGTCTCTGGTGAATTCTCTCACCCTCCGCATCTCTGGCCTGTATCCCAGTTCTGTACAAATAAATAAATAAATCTTTAAAAAAAAATGTCTCTTCCATCCAGGAGCATTTGTAAAAATAGTTCCTTAGGGCCCTCCCTGGTGACACAAAGAGTTAAAACATAGCACTATGAAGTTAACTGCAGCAGCGGCTTCAGGGTGAGTTTGATCCTCAGCCAGGGGGTGACCCTATACAAGATTGGGAAGTAGGAAAGTATTTTTTTTATATATTTATCCATCTCTCCAATAAGTTTTCTTTTCTTTTTTTCATTGTTGACTGAATAAATGATTTCCAAATTCCCTGAGATTTGGAGAAGCTGCTTAAAACCTACTTTCCATTTACTCTGGTATAAGAAAATCCTCAAGAGTGAATGCCTGAGTCTCCCACTGCTTTTGTCTGAAAGTTCAAATGCAAAGATTTCTGGAATAAATAGTGACTGAAATGCTGGCAATAATACCTTCCCTTTTCCTCAACCCTCCATGGAATATGTAAATGGTAACTTGGGATCTCACCTGTACAAGATTACCCTCCCTATGGTATGTAACAAGTAAATGCTGAGTGAGGTGATGAGAGTAGACATTCCATAAGGATTGTAAAAGGAGAAGGTTAATCATTTTGGAATAGTAGGTCTACTTCTGTTCATTTCTCACCAATTGATGTCATTATCCTAGCTCCACAAAGTAGATTTCAAGGAGTTATTCCTTGAATCTTCCAGTTGAATCTGTCATCAAATCCTATCAATCTTCCCTCAAAAATGTCACCAGGCAGCCCATTTCCTTCCCTTTGTCCTTTTATCACCTATAAAACAGTTAAAAGTTTCTTTATTTGAAGACTGTAAACACTGTGAACATGTGGATCCTTTTTGACCTACTATTATTGTCTCTGTGGTGAGACATGTAGTACTACTCAATATAAATCTTGACAGAAATGAAAGGAAAATAATAATTGCAGGAAAGCGTAAACATAAGCCAAAGTATAAACAAAAGAATTAACATTGCTTACTCATAGGTCAAACACACACACAGAGCTGAAGGGAGATTTGGGGAAGTAAATGGTAATTTTCTCTAGAAAGCAAGGACTCTGATGATGGGGCAAAGGCATGTATGTCTCTCTGGTAGAAACGTGAGATTTTAAAGGAGGGTGGTGACAAATTGGAAACAAGTTCAATATGTACAAGTTAAAGCAGAAAGTTAGTATTGACTCAGATGTGATATCATGAGGGCCTACATTTGATAGACCAAAGTAGAAATTACAAAGGAAATGTTTAAAGACACAAACAAATATCTTAAAAAAAAAAAAGGAAAGAAATTGGGCCAGGGTCAGTCAGTGTAAAATACAGCTATAACTGTATTCATGTATATATTTTTTTCAATTCAGGTCATCACTGATTTACAATACTGTACATATTTTAGGATTACAGGTTCACACATTTTTAATGAGTATCTCTTGACTATTTTTAATTGGTAAAGGAAGTACCCAATTCACTCAATAGTTATTTTTAGTGATATTTATGTATTATAGAACATGACGTGTGAAAAAGTGCTCTTGTCCAGGGTTTCTCAATGCCAGCATCAATGACATTTTGAATCGGATAATTTTTTTTGTATTAGGGGCTGTCCAATTGAGTATGGGATGCTTCCAGCATCCCAAAGCTCTGCCTACTAGATGCTGGTAGCATTCAAGTCAGTTATAACAACCAAAAGTATCTGTAGAGATAACAACATATTTGGGGAGGAGGTGTAAAATTTCACCTACTGGAGAACATCTACTTATATAATCCTTCAAGCTCAAGTTATCATCATTATAAATTTTTGCCATACTACAACAAATGCATTTTCAGAAAGTGTCAACTTTGTTAAGGAAAAATATATCTATGTTAAAGGTGATTATTTTAAAAGGAATTTTTAGAAAGGAAGGATTAAATCTTTAAATGTACTTACACTGAGTTCTAAAACTATTCCCAGGCAATCAATCAGTAATGACACAAGTGTGGCTACAGTGATGATAACCACTGTAATGGTGATGTGGAAAACAACTGAAAGATTCCCACCGAAAAACACATTGGCAATTACCTGTCAAATAAACATTAATTAGGGAGGGATTCTCAGAGACATCTGCAGATCTTATTAAGGGAGTACTTCATATTCTAGAACTTAGAAATGTACAAAACATTACCAATAAGGCAATTAATCATGGCTGAAGTTGTCATTAATATTCTGTCTTTTCTAAACTACTTACATATACACAAATACTTATCAATAACACAGGCAGTGAATTCTATTGTAGATCTAGGATATGGCATACTAACATATGAATAAATATATTTCTCAACTATCAGAGTGACCTTGACAAATTAACCTTATATCTCAATCACTTTTCCCATAGGTAATAACCTTCTTTGACTCCAATAAGGTCACCATTAAAACAAACTTCAGAAGTTACCGAGATTATCTAAATGACCTCTAAGGAAGTAGTTCAACAATTTCTTTAAAAAAAAAAAATAATGGATGTGTAATACCATTCACTAGCAGGAAACTAAACTTACATAAAGTAAATCTTATTTGATACAGTTTAACTTTATTTCCTCCACAAAAATAGAAAATTGACCACCACATCACACTGAGTTAGAGTAAGAAATCAAATAGAATTACTTATTTAATGTGTCCTACAGTGTGATCTAATATGCAAAGAGAAAATGTCTTTGAGGTGATTCTTATGTTCAGTTATTAACTATTAATTTCCTAATTGAAGGAAACCAATCAATATAATAAAGCAATCAGAGGTCTGTTTATGACAGAATAAAAAGATCAAAACATCAAATTTAGAACTAACAAGGATTTTAGTTATTTAGAGCTGCCTCCCCTAGAGTAATAGATGATATAACATTTTTTAAATTGTTTGTCCTACCTTGGCTTAAGGTATACCTGAAAACATGGAAAGGATTTAGCACAAAATTCAGACTGAAGCAAAGGTGTGAGAAGAGCATGAGTTAAGAAAAGAAAAGACATCTATAGAGGACAAAGAGGAGAGAGTCTGAATAGTGTGGTGACTCTGAAAAAGAATAATGAAAGAGAGCTGGAAATAGCAACAGAGGTTTCCATGCTGTGGGACCCTCACAAAGCCAGTTGTCCAGCAAGTTCTATTTATTCCTAAATAACTAACATTCCCTGTGAACTGGACACTGCTGTAACTGCTAATAATTAATGTGTATTCTGATAACGTTGGTCACTTATAATTGGTTTTATATTGATAATTTCTTAAAAAATATCTTATTTAAAATGTGCTCTTGTAGACACCACTAAGATACGACTGTAATAGTGGAAAATCACTTAGTGAAGCAGGCTAGTGAGAAATATTAATTATCAGCCATTGGGTAGACAGGTTTTTTGGCACCCTTATATACATCTGGCTACTTTACCTATGAATAGGTATAATTATGTTTATACTGTAACTGTGTGTGTGAGAGAGTGCACAAAAGAGAGAAGGAGAAAGGAAGTACGTGGGGGCACATTATTCAAGCTTCCTTTTCCTAGTATTTGCTACTACAGCAGCTATCAGATTTCATCTGCCTTCCTGTCATGGTAGCTAGAAAGGAAACATTAGTTCCAAGTACTAAAGCCATCAACTATGCAGGGGGGATGACTCAAATCATACACAAGCAGTTTACCAGAAACCACATGAAAATACACCATCTATTACTGCTGATCTAGAAGATCCCAACTCCAATAATAGCAAAATTTTAAAGGCACTTAGATTTAAAACATTTCCATAAAGTCAACCTTAGTTCACTCTGTTTCTCCCAGTATGCAAACTTGTCATACTAGGTGGCAAACTAAGTCATACATTTGTAAGTGAGAAGTTGTACTAATTGTGAAGGACAAACATAATGTGGTCACTTGCTTATTCCATTTTCCTGGGCAGTTTCTTAGCCTCAGAATTGGCTGAAGGCAAGCAATGGTCAGCCTGAAGAAGCTTTCTGATTAGTAAGCCTTCTGATAAATCTCAGCTCTGTAGGCACCTCACTTCACACATTAGGCCCATTCACATGGTGTACTATGTAAACAGCCGCTAGGAACAAATCCTAAACTAAGCCCTTTTCAGTGTGATTCCTGAAAGAACCACTGTGAAGTTCTATCATGTTTTTCTGCTAACTTGTCCAGTGATTTTTTAGCTGACCATAAGGGATTTCTGATGAGCGATATTATCCCATTTTATACAAAACAAATTGGTTCTCTTTCTTGCAATCTTCTTCCACAAATCCAGAAGGACTATGTAACACGACATGTTGGAGTTGACTTTATAAATGAAATGTGTATTAAAATACAGCATTTATATTCTTTATATTATTTCATATGATATAGAAATATAGCTACATAAATATATCTAGGAAATGTAATTTAAATTTAATTTGCTTTTCATAAAAAATGAGATATTTTAGCTTTGTAAAAATAACAAAATTGATCAGAATCTGTTCTATGGGGCTTTCAATATATGTTGACTTAAAAAACATCGTAGAAAAAAAATTGTGAAATACGTTTTAAACCTTAGTATGTCACTTCTTTGTAAGAATGCTGTTTTTAAAAACTTAGTTTGGCTCTTTTCAAGGCTGGCATTCATATTTGGAATGCAGTTGTAAAAACATTTATACTTAGGCTAATATAAACTAAACCACCAAACATGATTTTCAAGTCAACTTTTGAAAAAATATCATGTAAACATTTGGATGCATGTTTATCTATAAACTCATTGATAGAAAATTTTATAAATTTATTACTTGTCACACATGTGGGAGGTAATAGAAATGAATGTACAAGTCTTCCTAAATTAAATGTGGAAGGGAGTTCACCGGTAAAGTGTTGGAAAGCATGGTTCTTACCTCTCTAGTCACAAAGCATTCGATTGGATATGTCAAAATAACAGTGACTCCATAACAAAATCTTCCAAAGGTTACCAAGTCATCATTTCTGCAGTAATTTTCAAATAAATCCCCTAGAGAAATAATATAAAATAGAATTTTTTAATATGCCCTAGATATTTGAGATAAATACCTAATAAAATAGACACTAGATATTATATAAATGAAGCCACAAATATTTTAACTTAATAGATTACAAATCTAAATGTTTTTGCACTTAATAACTACATAATTATTGACTAATATTAAAACCAGTACATATTTCACATAAAGATGGATTCAATCACTAACAGGTTTTCTCTTTTTGTTTGGTTTGGTAAGTATGCCTTTAATTTGGATCAACTCTTGAAAAATACTTTATCTATTGTCTAACAACTCCCTAAATCAGCTCCCTAAATTCTTGTTCATTAGTTTTGTTAACCTACTTCTGGTCTTTGTTTCTGGTAAGAAAGTGACTTCATTATTTTGTTTTTCTTAAGTCTGTTAAAATAAACAAATTTCCTTTTGAAATGCTATTTTTAGATCAAGGACAATCTTGAAAAGAAGAATAGACTAGTATGACAGGATTGCTGAACATCCTGTATATCATGCTAGCGCGTTTAATCCCAAACTCAGGGTCACAGCAAGGAATTCCAAACCTACATTATCTTCCATGGCATCCAAGGAAGCCAAATTTAAAGAAAAAGATTCGAAACTGAAGATATGTTTATTGCCCAGGAAAAGCATTGTATTTAGCTGACTTCAAGCTAAATGATTGACCATAGATACTTTGAAAACTCATTCTTATTTAGACACTATATTTTCTCAGACACAAATAAAGAAATTCAAGTATCTGACAAGGGCATAGAAAACATGCCAGCCAGAAAAGTTCCCCAATGCCAAAACAAAGATTATTTGGGCCTGTTTATTTCTTATATACAACATGCTTAGATCTCAACTTTTAGTCATACTTTTAATGCGGCTGAATAAAACATTACATCTAAATCACAAATTCTGCACTGTTTAAAAAAAACAACAAAACACTTCTGTACTTTTTTTTCCCCATTAAAAAGCTAAATGATCAGTCTGTCCCCAAAAACTTTAGTTTAAGCAATCCTTCTCCCATCTTCCCACCAGCTAGAACAAAAATTGTACATTTATTTCTGGGGTTCCTAGGGGGCAGAAGAGGATTAAATCACAAAGCAGTAGTGGCAACACTTGCATCAAGGTTGATGGAAAAGGTTCAGGCATGCTGATTAAAAAAGGAGTAAAACTATTGTTTACTCCACTAAAAAATAGGCCTTATATCTTTTCAAAAGTCACTGGGAATGTCAAGAATAATCTAGAGTCCTTACTGTGTCACAAGTTGGAAATTATCTACTGAAAAGGAAAAGAAAAAGAAATGCACAGTTCGCATAAACAAGACCAGATTTGCCTAAGGTGAAATGGCCTGAAGTACAAAATCTGCTTATTTCAGCTTTCGTTAAAGTATATTTTAGAGAATTATAGCAAGGGGGGGGAAAAAACTACCAAAACCAAACTGTCAACTTTATTATACAAAGATTTAATTCTGTCTGAGCAATACCACAAGTAAAAATCACTACGAAGGTGTGAATAAGAAAAGAGTTTATGCTTTACAGAGACAGCAATTAAAATCAAGGTTTTAGGGCCCTCCCTGGTGGCGCAGCGGGTTAAAGCACTGAACTAAGAAATTTAAGCCACTTACACATAAGTTCGATCCCCGCCTGCCCCGGAAGAGATCCACATGGCATGGCAGACCTCTCCTGACCCGCCCGCTGCTCCCATCAGCAGTGTACTTCGTCTATCGCCTGTTCTGCTCCTACTCTGTCCCTGGTGAATCCTCTCACCCTCCGCATTTCTGGCCTGTACCCCAGTTCTGTATGAATAAATAAATCTTAAAAAAAAAAATCAAGGTTTTATATACACCAGAGACTACAGACCATTCAACTTTGTAAACCACTTAATACCGATACATAGCAGTGTTTTGATTGTTTTTTTAAGATGTTAAATTTACATCAAAACTTTCAAAATCACTTTGCTATTTTAATATAATGGCACACATATTATATTTTTGATAGCATTGTCACTACATTAGTCACTCTTTTCTGAGGCTATCTTTAGTTCGTAGAAGTCTCTGCCTATATTTATTGTCACCTGTATTTAAGATAGCTTCAGATAGCACTATCCATCCTAAAGTATCTCAGTGTCATCTGAGAGATGAGAAACTGGAGGGTAAGAGACAGCTTAAAGTATCATACTTGGCCAAAATTGGGTAGATAGCAAGAGAGAACAGAAAGAAAATTGGACTGGATGTCAGGAAACTTACTTCCTACTTTGCCACCAGCCAGCTTGAACAAGTTACTTCACTTCTGTGTATTTTAAGCAAGAGGCAAAACTAGTAATTCCACTTACCTTCATGGGTTGCTTGAAGGTCAATGAAATAACAGACTTGCAAAAGCTATGAAATACATGAATCACAGCATTCAGCAGGCTGTCAGAATACCCTGATTACCACACTACATGGGTGAGTGAATGTAAGGGTCAAGGGAAGAGAAAAAGTGACCACTTGGTTGTCAGGCTTGGAGGAGTAGCAGAAACGAGAAGTGCTTGTTTTGTGTGTGGCTGTGAGAGGAGGGGAAAGGGCTAGTTTGGTGGGAAAGATGATATTTTTAATTCTGAGTCAGACTGGGATAGTTAAAAAGAAATATCTTACAGACGAAAGGCTAAAGATGAAGAGAAAGATCTGGAATAGAGTTTTTAAAAGTACCAGAGAATTTTCTGAGAGAAAAGAAGACAACTTGCCTGAACCAGTTAATGGAGGGGTGAGAAGGTGGAAAAGAGGCAGGGGAAGCAAAGATGAACTACTCTGAGAGAGAAAAAAATAATAGAGTGAATGATGATATGGTGGTGCTCTTTCCTCTGTAAGAAAGAAAGACCAGAACTGTTAAGTGATTCCGAGAGATCCATGAGAATCAGAGCCAAGCTTATTAGCTTTGAAGAGTGAGAGGACATTGGGTGAGAGGATACTGGTGTCTTTGAAAGTGACACTGTAGTGAAGTAGTAGAGAGATAAGCAGAATTCATGTGCTTTGAAGCTAAAAGATGGAAGGAAAGAGAATGGACTGCAGAAATAAGTTTAGTACTTAAAAATGGTGAAAATTAGGAAACAGAGGCAGTAAGAGGAGAGAATGGATAGAAGATACTTTGAAGTAGAGCTTTGGGGTTAATTACACCAAAAGCAATAAGTGAGAGCACCCTTTGCACATGAATACCAACATGAAATCACATTGAATATCTTATTTTACCTTGGGTAAAGCCGGTAAATGTCAAGTATCCACATATAGCAAAGAGAACACTGATGAATACAGAAACCAAAGTGGACACATGAATGATGCGGGACCACTCAGTTACTGTGGGCTCTTCCAAAGAACCATAAATTAAGAAGCAGTTATGGTGGCAAATGAATGCTACAATTAAAAAAATAATAATGAAGCAAACACCAGAGGTCTTATTTCATTTAAAAAAATTCAGAGATGCATCCTACTTCAGAATCCCAATGTACTAGTGTTCAAATATACTAAATTACTAGGTCTGGTCATAATTTAACAGTTCTCAAAATACGACACTTCATTTACATCAGGCTTATCTGGTCTCTTTATGTCACTATTGATATAAACCAAAGCTATCCAAATTTCGCTCACATTTTCCAGTTCCCAGAGGTCTTTCTAATCTTAAAAGGGAATCTAGACAACACTGTATTTTCAATCCATGGTTTCCTTTCCTATCTGGGACATAGCAGCATAGCTGAATATATCCAACCAATTCATGATACTTTGTATGCAAAGTTTTAAGTAAATCCAAAACACCTGCTAGATTGTCAAGTTAAGAAATAAGTTGACTTTAATGAGTTTGCTGCCTGAGAAAGTTACTTGTTCAAATTAAAGCGAATTTTAGTGATGAATGAGAAACATTTGACCCTAATTTTATGTAGATACAAACTAAGATCATATGCTCATAAATAGGAAGTCTAAAATATAGGACATGTGTTCTCCAGACATGAATATGAAACATAGTACTTTTCCTATGGACAGGCAACTCCACACTGAGAAGGAACCACTGAAACCATATACTCACCAAATGACATAATACCAACAGCTTGAATGGCATTGGATTTTGCAAATACCCAAGCATCTTCTGTTTTTGGTCTAGAAGAGAAATCAGCTAATTTATTGAATGATTAAACAAATGCAAATATAAACATATCAGAAAAAATAATGTTACAATAGAAGCTTTTAAAGTTGGAAATTAAAAGTTTCTAATAATATTTTGTTTTAAATAAATTTCCCAGAAATTACAAATATTATCTGTGAACCCAGTATTTTTGAAAGACTTGTCAAATACTTGGGAGGACTCCATTTCTACATATTTAAAATATTCACTAACTACTGAGTTTTTAAGTTATTGATTTAACAAGAAGTATTTATATGTACTCAAGTGTAGATACAAAAATCAATAATGCAATATTCTTCCTCATAATCAATACTGCCCTTATTCCCCTTTGAATCCTTTTTCCAGGTTTACCCAATGGCTAGGAAATTCAAATTCAATTCCATAGTTTATTCAGGAAGGTGGACAAGAACTAACACAATTCAAGGGTATAATTAACCGTCTTTCGGGAACCATCTTATGCTATCTCAGTTTTCAAAGTTAACAGTTACATATTATTACTACCACTTACAACAATGAGAAAGTTAAGCTTTCAGTGGCGACATAACTTTTCAAGTTTCCACAGATAGTAAGTAAACAAGTTGAGATTTGCCTCCTTGATCTGTAACTTCTAATATCTTTCCATACTGAACTATTAATAGTTTAAAATTCCCACCTTGGATATACTTCTCAAAATACTTTTGGAAATATATGTATTTTGCATATCTTGAAGAAGCAGAATTAAAACATCTGCCAGGCAATATCTTGGTATGGACCAGTGTCCCTGATTAATGAATGCATCCGGAGAAAAGGTGAAGAACTCAGGCTTCAAGGTCAGACAGCTGTGATGGTCCTCTGGGCCCATACACGTTAGTTGTAACTTAGCCTTTCTGTACTTCAATTATTATAACTATAAAATGGGGATAATAATAGTTAAGACCACCCCCACACAGACACATGCACACAAAGGGATATCAATATTTTTCTCCAACAAATGATAAAAAAAGTAGCACCTAATTCATTGAGTTATCATGTGAATTAAATGCAATAGAATGTGTGACATGTCGTAAGGGAGCTTTGCATATAGCATGAGTTCAATAATAAGCAGTCATTTATTGTCAGTGTATTTATCAGTATTGTCATTATCCTTGTCATCTAATGAAAGATAGCAAAAAGTATGAAAATATGGCCAATTTCTCTGAAATGGAAAGGTTTGAGTAATACCCCCCCCCAAAAAAAGATTGAACACAGAAGGGGGAGCAAGGAAGTAGGGACCTAGGAAGCATAAAGGCACTTGATGTAGACCCCTGTATTCCATAAGTTTGCTATTCACTCTCCCCATAAACTCAACATTAAAAACCCCATTTGTGGGGCTCTCCCTGGTGGGGCAATGAGTTAAAGCACCGCATTATGAAGCTCTTTGACGCCACTGCAGCAAGAGCTCCATCTCCGGCCAGGGAGCTGACCCACATGGTACAGAAGACCTCCTCTAACCCACCCGCTGCTCCCCTCAGCAGTGGACTTTGTCCATCTGCGTATTCTGCTCCCCACTCTGTCTCTGGTGAATCCTCTCACCCACCACACCTCTGGCCTGTACCCCAGTTCTGTTAAAAAAAAAAAAAAAAAGGCCCTCCCTGGTGGCACAGTGGGTTAGAACGCAGCGCTGGTAGGATGTAGCAGCATCATTCTTTTCCCAATGCGCAATTAAACACACACAGGCAGTAGCTGTCCTATCCTACCAGGGAGCCCACCTGCTGTTAAAAGGTTTGCTTCAATTCCTGTGGATTTTTGAGTGGGAGCTGCTGCCACCTGCTGCCACCACTACTTCTACTACATGACAGCAACAAACCTCTCAAACGCCAGGATAATGAGAAAAAATACATATTTGCTCATAGTCCTAAAAAAAAAAGTTAGAAAAGGCAACACTAACAATGGTAGAAACTTAAAGAATTTTAGCTTTCTAGTATTTTTAAAAAGATACACTTTCCCTGTTGCCTAAGAGAAATATTCATTTATTCTTTTTTTTTTCACTGTCCAAATTGTTAACTCATATAAAGAATGAAAAGGTGGGGGTTTGATATTCACATTCCTCCATCCACTCAAGTTTTAAAATTTTTGCTTGGCAATATGGTTCCTTGAAAATATTCCTAGATAAGATGAAGTGTGAAACAGTACCTAGAGATGATTTTGAATTCTCTATGTTCATCTGAATGATGCTGATTTTACAAGATGTAAAGTGCAAAAATGATGCTATACATAGGAAAAAATGTGTGCTCAAATCTAGAAAAAGAGGCATTGAAAATAGCTTTCCAATCTTTTATAAAATAGCCTGAAATTGAGTTTAGAAACAAATTGTTCCACAAAAATAAAAAAGAGAGAGAAAATTACTTGGTGCCATTTATGAGGCTACTGAAACTTGTAACCAATGTGTGTGAGAAATGAAAATATAGACTGTTATGACTTTAGAATATAGATATAGAAAACATTATCAAGTGTTTTCAAGCAATGTGTAAGAAAAAGGTCATGACTAAGACGCGTTTCCCCAATAAACAAAAGATTCATTTGATAATAGAAATATTGGTTAATGTAATTCATCATACACAGGCTAATGGAAAACTGCTGTTTCCATGATCCAGTTGTGTTTACCTATGATCTAACTGTGTAATTTCTGGTCAGTAATTCCAGGTTTTAAAAAATTTCTAAGCGTTCAGTTTCTACAACTTTATCATTCACTAAGAAATTAAAAATCACATTATCTGTTTAGTTGTTAATTTGGGATCCATAATTAGTTTTATAAGCTTTTCCCCGTTTTTAGTTTTGTTTTGGATTTTTTTGACTCAAGAATTTTGTTTGTTGATAAGAAATGGAATGTTAATAAATTTCAGTTTAGTTCTGTAATGTCAAGAATTTGAAAATTAAGAAATGGATTGGTTAAAAAAAAGAACATGTAGGAGAGCCTACAACCCAGTATTCATTTTGATAAGCCTACTTATCAAAATATACATATAAATTTTAATAAAATGTATTTCCTTAACCTGATAAATATTCTCTACCAAAACTTAAAACAAAGGACACATTTAAAAGTAACTAGAAATTATAATTAATTGCAAAACCATAAGAAATGATACAATATGTAATAATTAGAAAGGGATAAATTATTGCATTAAATGCATAAAATTCAGGGGGGTGATTAATGCAAGACTACTGGAACTAATACAAGTATGTAGCAAAGCTACTGTGTACCAGCTCTACACACAAACTCAACAGTGTTGATGTACACAAATAGGAATTAACTGAAATGTTTCTTAAATGGCAGTGTTTTGAACTTAAGACATTAAAGAAGTAACTTAAATCACTAAATACTTCAAAAGATATGCATAATATTAATGATGATTTAATTTTACTGAAGGTATAAATGACTAGAAAGCTACACCGTAACTACACAGCTAAGTGAGGAGACTCAACAGCATATATGTCAATTCACTCCAATAGTTTTTACATTTAAAGAAGAACGTATTATATTGAGGGAAGAGAGGCTTTTTGTTGTTGTTTTTTTTTTTTTAAATCCCCAGGTAAGTGTTGGTAAAGCTGATAAAAATCACTGGAAGGTAAATATAAAGTATCTGGATGGTAAAATAATACAAAGTTAAAATATTAACATAAAAACTGGGAGATGAGGCCCTCCCTGGTGGCGCAGTGGGTTAAAGCACAGCACTAAGAAGCTAAAGCCACTTCAGCACGTGTTCAATCCCCGCCCCAGGAGGTGATCCACATGGCAGATCTCTCCTGACCCACCCGCTGCTCCCCTCAGCAGTGTACTTTATCAGTTCACCTGTTCTGCTCTCCACTCTGTCTCTGGTGAATCCTTTCACCACCCCTGTACCTCTGCCCTGTACCCCAGCTCTGTATGCATAACTAAATAAATCTTTAAAAAAAAAACAAAAAAAAAAAACTGGGAGATGAAATTTTTCATGCATGTAACCAATAATGGATTATTGTTAATGTGTATTAAACACTTTTGCAAATCAATAATAAAAGATATTCCAATGAGAAATGAACAACAGGTAATTGATATAAAAAGAAATAATTACTTAATAATTAGAGAATAAATGAAATCCATTGGTAGCATTTTACACTTAATTCAATAATAACAACATAAACTGTTCTTAAAGAAAAATCTGCATTTATTATAAAAATACTTCAGAGTGCCTTCCCTGGTGGCGCAATGGGTTAAAGCACAGCACTAAGAAGCTAAAGCCACTTCAGCACCAGTACAATCCCAGGCCCCTGAGGTGACCCACGTGGTGTGGCAGATCTCTCCTGACCCACCCGCTGCTCCCCTCAGCAGTGTACTTTATCAGTTCACCTGTTCTGCTCTCCACTCTGTCTCTGGTGAATCCTTTCACCACCCCTGTACCTCTGGCTTATGCCCAGTTCTGTAGGAATAAATAAATAAATAAATCTTAAAAAAAATACGTTGGAGAAGAATTTGGTGGTATTGAGTAATGTTGAAGATATCAAAATTTGTAAGCAATTACATTTCTAGGTGTTCTTTAGACTAAGGTAGCATACATGTGTAAGAGAAAATACGGAATTTTATTGTTGCTTAGTTTATATTAGCCAAACTTTTGAAACACTCAATGTACATCATTGGAATTGATTATATAAACCCTAGCGTAAAGTGGGGCAAAATTATAAAATTGCATACTACAGAGCAAGAAGAAATAGTCCAGTGATACTACATTAAATGAAAATATATGAAATACAATACTGAGGAGAAAAGAGGCTATAGGAAGGAATGTGCAATTTTTGAGCACAGTGATTATTAATGTGCATTTTACAAACATACTAATCTATACATAAATTGTTTTCAATACATAAAGACAGAGCATAAGTATAAAAGCATGAACAGGATGATCTAAAACAACTTAAGAATAATATCTCCAAAAAAAGACAGATGAATTGACTTTTAAATATACTGGTCTATTACTGACAAAGA